CTATGTATTTTACATTAGTCTGCTAAACTCTTAAGATCTCAGTGATTTACTGTACAATATAAACTCAGAATTTTATCTTGCCTTCCTGTTAAGCATGACTTTTCAACATGATTAGCAAAAACTATGTAGTTCAGTTTCAGTAAATGTAATGTGTGGTATGAAAAAATAATTAATAATTAGCTAGAGCTGCACCCTGATTGATGGATTTTCTGTGTAGCATAATGGATAATGTATTCTTTCTGCACTCATTTCAGTAGATGTTATTGTTATTAAAAATAAATAGATTGGTTCAACAAAAACTCATTCAAACTGTTAAAAGATTTATCAGTTATTGGTAAAAAAATCAAATTTCCCAAAAAAAGTGAATGTCGTTTTTACTTCTACTTTTTTTTCTCTATAGTGTTTTAACACCCATCTTTCTGCCATTTCGTCTTCAGGTTCATGTGAATTTGTTAGTGATGGAGGCACGTCTGCAGGCCGAGCTGCTGTATGCGCTCAGAGCCATCACTCAATATATGATCGCATAGGACTCGAACATTCGGAACACCAGATGGACATGGTACAAGGCAAAGAAATACAAGCAGAGATCTGTCTGTATTTGTTGTCGCTGAGTTTACCAGTGTGATGTAAGGTACTGCTGTGAACCGTTTCTTTGCCAAAGGTGAATCTTTAGAGAGAAAAAAAGTGCAAAGCAATCGCTCTCACTCCTACTGTCGTTTTGCATGTTCTCTTACTTCACTTTGTTTCTGTAGTCGTCCTTTTGTGTGTATACTTTCTAATTTTCTACTTTTTTTTTAGTATCCCAGATGGCTAATGTGCAATTCTTTTTATTCAGTTGTTGCTATTAATACTTTTTGTTTCATTTCCTGTTGCTGTTTAACTGAGTGAGAGACGTGTCCAACTGTCCATTTCCAAGGTGATCACATTCTGGAAAGGTCAAAGCCAATTGGAGTCATTGTTTACAGAAATGAGTGATTGGACAAAGGCGCTCGCTTAATGTGGCTTCCAGATACTTCATTTGAATATGGAACAGTGAGACCAGAGCAAAAGGTTGGAGAGGGTTCAGCAGATGTAACCTTCTTTTTAAATTTAGCACTTTTTAAGACAGTATCTTCAGAATATATCAATAAGCTTTCGGCTGTGGTTTCGTTCAGCACACACCGAGCACTGTTTTCAATTAGCATTGATGTTGTTCATCAAAATCTCGTTTTTTGGGGAGGGCGGGGGTGCTATGGAGATTGATATGGGTACATTTGTAGGATCCATAGTAATTAATCTCAGCAGGCATCTTCCAATGTGAAGAGCTAAATTCGACAGGTTCAAACCAGTGAAAAGGAATTTCAACTTGAACTCCTTTAAGTCTGTTTCATGGTAGTGTTTTCAGTGTTCTTTATACGGATTGGCCAAATGAACACACTATGTATTCAAACTCCATTGCATCATCTGCTAATTTGGAAAACAGTTCAAGCAGGTCTTTAATTTAGAGAGGTCGCCCACTTAATTGGATTCTGAAAGGGTCAGTGAATTGTTCACTGGTCAATGTTTATTTACCAAAAGAATGGATCTTCAACAGTTAGAACTTCTTTTAAAAGATTTTACAGTTTAAAAATTCAGTCACATTGTGAGGTTGAGGAGTTGTTGTTGTTGTTATTATAAATATTATTAATATTATTGTCAGAATAAGCTTATAAAATGGGATTTTAATGTCGGCACGCTGGTATAGGTCAAATGAAGGACTTCTGATGAAACTATAAGATGCGTAAAGGTTTGCGGTCAGCCTGTCGTCGTCTTTCCCATAACTGACTCGCACAGACTATTAATATTATTATTTTGCACTGAACCTTTTGCACAAAGTGTGGTTACATCTGGCAGCTGTCATTGTTACAAACCGTTTGGAGAGGTGTTCACTCGTCTAATGCCATAAATATAAATATAAACATATTTTCAATGTGCAGTTTTGTTGACAAGGCCAAATACCTGTACTGTGTTAAACTCTCATTGGTCTGGTTACCAAATTACAGTTAGCAGAAAGAATCAGGCAATACCTATGGTTGGTTTTGTGTGTTTATTTCAAAACATTGCATTACGTTTGTTCTTGTTGCAAGTATATACAGTTTTCTTTTTTTTTTGAGGAAGGTTGATGTCAGTTTGCTATTGTCTGGATTGTTTAGATTAAGATACCGCGGTATGTTAATCAGCAAAAAACGTGTACAGGAGCCGCAGTCTGTGCTGGGCGCACGGTGCCTTTTGACTACTGATGAGTCCACGGCTCATCAGTATGGCGAAACTGGACAGAAGTCTTAGTGAAGCCTCACGCTACTGCATTCATTCAAGCTGAGAACGGATGAGGAGCCGAGGAACATTCATCATCCTGTAATAAACATCTAGAGACATTTGTCAGGACTGCAGTGCGCCCATTCTACCTCAAGCAGGACTGTCTTAAATGCTTGTTTGTGGATGGTGGTCTGCAGTATCCCTGAAGCGTGGACATTTCAGGATGGTGCCTCAGCGGTTGAGACTGAATGAGCATGGCTTATTGCCAAAATGTTTATTTACCACGTAAATGTAGGAACTTAAAAATTTAAACTGACCAAAAAGAAGAAAAAAAAAACTACAAACCTTGAAAAACCAAGCAAAAAAAAGAGAAAGGTTTTGAAATGTGAAAGCTTATTTTTTCTATAAAGATATGCAATATCATCGTTGTGTCTTGTTCTTGTTGAATTTTGTTTTTCAGGGTTATTTGATTTAACATATAATGTTTTGGTTTAATTAGTCGATGTCAGAATTTCCACTTTGCATTCCAGTGTTTCTTAAAGGCATCAAGGTCTACTGGTGCAATTCTGCCAGCTAGTGGTGGTTCTTTGTTTACATTCCTTCTAGCATTTTTTTTTATTAAACAAAGAAGAGTGAAGTGAGTGATGTGACGGAGACAAAATGCTCTCTAGTTGTAAATTCATTGGGAGCACATGAGTTGACCGCAAAGCTTGGATAATTTAGCTGATTTCTATTACTATTAAATTCTTTACAAAGATAGCTGAAGCTTTAAAAGGTTGCCCCAAAACTAGAGCCATGTACCTTCTGCAAAACACTGCAAAATGTGATGATTGTCTTTTTGTTTTTTTCAGTGCTAAAGATACCTAAATCAAGATATACTTACCTGGAAGGCAAAATGACTTTCATGGCTTAGTCAATAAGACATGTTTTTCTGTAAAATGGATGAAAAATGATGTGTTTATAATTAAAGTAATAACAAGAATCTGCCAGTGGATTTGGGAAAAAAATTCAGGGAAAGTAATTTTATGCCACAATTATCTATACTCTTGATAAACCTATTTGTTCTTGTATTAGCATAAACTGTTTGGGTTCTCTGAGAGGAAGACTTGTTACATGTTCATCTCAGGTAAATACAGTGCTCAGCATATATTAGTACACCCCTAACAAATCTCTATCTTTTGAATTAATATTTTTAATAGGAGGCTATACGATATTATACTTGTGCATATACATTAGTTTAGTCAGTGAAGCCAAATCTGGAGCTAATCTAGCAAAATAACTTACGACAACAGTCCAAAAACTACTACACCCACATTTATATGTTGTAGAAAAATATTGAATACTCTTAAAAAAAGAGGTAAAATCATTTATTTAATTTTGTTTAAATGCATCAGAATACATCTCCTATATTCACTGAGGAATGAATTAAAATATTAATCTTCAAAATGAGGTGTACTCAATTATGCTGAGCCATCCATCTTGAATACTTGAGTAAACAGTGAGAACAGTAAAACTGAGCTATATGATTTTGGCAGTAGGCTATTATTATTATTATTATGTTGCTGCTTCATTTAATGACATGAAATTGTCATCTCAGATTTAAGACCTTGCACTTTTTAAGGCCTTGAGTTGTAGATGGACGAAATGTACATTTTATAACCTGCAGAAAATCAAACTAGCAATTCAGACAGAACGTGTAAACATTCTTTGTTTAGAAAAACAACTTTGAGGTGTTTTAAACCCAGAAATATGTGCCTTGTACAAAACCGCTAACGGAAAGTCTTATAACAGTTTGCCTATTTTAAACTTTAGTGTTTAGCATGGAGTTGATTTCAGGTTTCTATTCTTTAAACACGCCCCCTGCAGGTCGACTAGAGTTTAGCGCCAAACACCTGATCAAGCTAATGACAATCTGAGATGGCCAATCAAATTACTCTAGGCGGGATTCACGGTTCAGTAGCAGAGCGCGAATCCAAGTGAGGCGTGAGAGAAATGTTGGAGATAAGATTAAGGTAAAGAAACACATCTAACAATTAAATGGCAACAGTCTCTTAATTGAGATGTTTAAATGATTGACAGTGATGCCAAATATGATACGTTTCCCCCTCAAACTTAAAACTGACGACGATTTATATAATTACTGAGTGAACGTGTGAAGACGCCGAACGTTGTGTGCTTTCGACGTTAGCTGTTAGCCACGTGCCCATGTTTGGAAATAATATTTGAAAATGATCACTTCTTAACTAGAGTTGCACCAAAAAAGTATTTCACTGTTGTTCTTAACATTTATGCAGTAATGCAGCATGAGTTTGGTTATATTTTAACAGTATTGTTTAAAGAAATTTTGAATTTATGTGAACAGATGGTTTCAGAAAAATGTTCAATCATTTTACAACCTTGGGGATTAGGTCTCTCTACAAATGTTTATCACATATTGTTAAAAAAAAGTTTCCTTATGAAGACTAATCAAGACTTATTATAAGATACTTCCAGAACTGCACTTAATTTTCTTCAACTGATAAAAGCTGTGATGTGGCCTTTGCTTTTCCCATAGCCTGTATGCCTACTTGGAAATATTATTCCAAAGTTTTGGGTCTCCCTGGAGCGCAGGTGTGGCTAGAAAAGAGAATGAATTAATCCACATTATACCAAAATAGATGTCTCATTACGCTGAACCTAAAACATTCTTTAAAATGGGCCATGACAAAATGAATGTAACAAAACAGTCTGCGTTAAACAGATTAGGTTTATTTCTATTATGCTGAACTGCTTTCAATGACCTCTGACTAACAAAATATGGGGGCAGACAAAGTTTTGATCAAAAAACAAAAGCAATCAAGTACATATACAGTATTGGCTATGCACAACTCGTCAGTCTTACATCCCGGCATAACCCAAAACAAAAGAGAAAAAACCCAACCCAGACCATAAACTAATGTCCTGTGTTATCAACTGGGATACTTAGCAAACTCTGTTGAAAAAATTATAGGAACTAAAAAAATGAGTACTAAAGAAGGATAGAAGGATAATATCAAACAAGGAAGGTGAGAGTGATTTGGAAAGAGGGAAGGTGTGGAATTCCTGCATTTCATGCAGCAGCCCTGTGATGTCTGTCTGATGGGGCAAATACATTATTCATCATTTGTACGAAGCCACAGTGTTAACTATAAAAATTCAAATGACATTAGAAAAAGTCAAAGGTGACTGTCAGCTTTGAAGCTTTCCAGAAGATGTACCATGCAGGCATGACGATCACCTCTGACTTCAGGGAGATGTTTTACATGTACAAACGTAACATGAAAAAAGATGCCCCAAAAGACAAGCACATCGATGTAAACAGTTGATTGAAATCAATCATCAATCGCTGTATTAATCTACACACCACACTGACACCATTCTTGAGGTGCACTGTTATACAATATGTGGTGAGATGGCCAAACCCCCTCCCTCCCCATTCACAGCTTCTTTTATAATATACAAAAACTGAGATTCGGGGAAATAAAACACAGATCAATTTCTCATACTATGTTCTACATTAAGAAATTAACTTAATATGTCTTGCATAAAATTATCACAGGCCCGGATATCTACATATGCACCAATCAAATATGGCCCTCATTAATTCTCATGTATAATATCTAGCACCGATGAATAGGATACAAAATTATTCCTCTGTAAGGAAAGAGCGCTTTAATAGTTAATCTAACGCACTCATACCATTAAAACGACGTGATGGTTGCTGATGACAAGCTCTCCAATTGAAGCCAATTCATACATCAAATAAAAATCTTCAAAATGCTGGTTTTAAATGAACCAACAATTAAATAAGTCAACCCTTCTGTTACAAAATCGGTACAAGTTGAATAAAAAGGGCTTTAAAAACTGTATGGTTTGCTCTGGAGCGACATGCTATAGTGTTCATTGGCAGTTTACAAGATTTTGTAGGAATTCTACAAATGCATACATTAGATAAATCTCTCATAATAAACTGCAGCATTAGATATATGTCTTCAAGGTTTAACTATATATGTGACATTGGCTTGCATAATGACTTCTATAATTTAGAAAAGGCCATGAGCACTGAAGTCATAACATGATTATCTCATTACTTCCTTACAGAAGTTGTTTTAATTATTATTTTCCATAACCCTGAGTGAAACATTGCATTAATCGCTTTCAATTGGACCAGTCCTTTGTTCTGAGATGAAATCATTGCCTAGACATAGAGAAAAGCTCATGTCGCAACTATTAAAAACAACTTATTCTTATATATTTTTTTCTTTTTCACACAATTATAGTAAATTTCAACTTTTAAAGACTATTCGGATAAATGTACCATGCAATAAATCAGTCAAATTAAGAGTTCATTGATTCTTTTCTTCATAAAGCTTATCCACTCCTGCAATGTGTCCATCCACCCAACATGCAGTTCTTAGTGTTCCTTTGGTTATTGTATAAAATCTATATGCATCTCATCTTTTACAAAAATAAAAGATTACATAGAAAATGACCGTTAAAAATGATCTGAAATAGCATCTGCTTGGATTAAAAAAAGCGAATTAACAGCATGTTTTTCCTCTTATTAGTCTCTGTTAAGGACAACGATCTGATCTAAATTAGATTTATACTTGAGATATACTATATATATTCAACTGTTTTTGATCTTTTACAAAATACGAGTAGTGCTGGTTATGAAAAACTGTTCAGTGAGAAAATAGTTTTTCCTTTCGTGCCTCTGTAGACACAGTCAAACATGCCAGAGGAACAATAACATCTCAATGTATCCACGTTTCTTCAAGAATCGCTTCAAACTCGCATATAACAAACTTTCACCTGCACTTAAATGAAATGATTCAGCATAACCTTGAATTCTGTTGTCAGTGTGTTGGAATCAAGTTTCGGGAGCATTAAACATATTTGCACGCACACAAATGTACACACGTACACACCCTCCTGCGCACACACACACACACACACACACACAAAAGAAAAAAAACTTCAGGTATTGCATTTTGCAAAAGGGCACACGTTTCCAACAATAACACTATACCATTTAACCTGTTGGCAGGAATATAAATGCATCAAAATGCCCTGTGGAAAAATCACATTTCTTCATACTGTTGTTATCACTAACAAACACTTAAGAGCAGACAGTTAAATCATCATTCAGCTATCAGCCTCTTCAGCACGTCACAGGAAAAACACCTTCTTGAGAGCAGAGGTCATAAAAGCCAAATTAATTGCACATTGATCAACAACAGCGCCGCCAAACCACTTTGAAACTTTCAACAATGCTTTGCTGCTTTGATGCATTCGCAATATGCATGTGCTTCATACCACTAAGACAGCACAAGCCATGCTGTGCAGTGGAGCTGGTGATACCATCGCCACTCAACATTGTTCTCAACTTAACATTCCTGTGGTACCATGTTGTATTCGTCCTCGGATGGGGGCTGAGAGCAACATCGGATCAGCTCTGGAAGGAACATCATCTGTGCAGAATCGTGGCTGCTCGGTTCTTAACTTGCTGTTTAATAAACAACAAGTCATGTTTAAAAAAAAGCTGCAAAGTTTGATCCTCCTGGCTAAAAAGAGTTCCATTTGAGGGTGAAGGAGATCAAGGAGTACCACAGTCTCCATCTTATACTACACGTCATAGTCATCTATGTAATAAACATGATTAGCTGTTTATTAGTTGTGCTTCTTCAGTCCAAGATTGGCCGAAAACAAATTTTCAAACAAAATATGCTGCATATACAAGACAAGATAAGAAATAAAAATGTTTCAAGACCATGTTTTCTGTGTCCAATAGCACACTCTTAAGTTGACATTGGCACTTGACATGTATGAGGTCGGATTTCATTGTCTAATTAAAAATTCTGACTTGAAGCTTCTTGGCCAAGTGTGTTCTTAGCTGAAGCCATTTCTGTGTTTGAGGTACAATGGCAAATGCAGAGGCAAGAAAATGAGAATATGTTCAGACATTTTGCCACATCGGTTTTGAAGTGTTAAGGATGGGGGACAATCCTGTAAACAAATGAATAAAAAAGAAAAGCAATTAACATGATGTAAAGCAGTAAATGAAACAATGAGCATGTGAACCTGACGAGAACTGGGTGTCAGCGGGGTCTAAAAACTCTTTAATCTTAAAAGCAAAGTTTTAGATCTTAAAAAGTCTTAAATCTACTGAAATATTGTGTTGTAGGTCATAAATCTGTTTTAACAGGTTTTAATTTTCCTACCCAATCTGGCCATTAACACCCATACAATCAGCAACAACCCCAATCTCAATTAAACTTAACTTTTTATTTAACTACTTTCCTTACAGTAACATTTGCTTAAAAGTTCTTATACTTACTACTGAGGATACTGACCTGACCTATATGTTTTGTTATTAAATTATTATTATTGCATTATTAAGTTATAATCAGTAAGGTTATATTAATAATTTTTTGATAGGTCAAGTGAAAATCTTTTCCAACTGGGATGTTAAAAAAAATATTATTCTTAGAATTTAGCCCTGTAGACATCAAAAATTTAATTAATAATTGTCTTAAAAATGTCTTTAAAAATCTTAAATTTAACTTGGTGAAACCTGAAGAAACCCTGAAAAATGTACTTAAAACTGAAAGATTTTCATTTGAGTTTTAAAAGATTTTCTCATACATATGACAAACTTGTCAAAAGAATCCCTTTTGCGTGGATCCACAAATACTTAGAAATGCTGTAGAATTCATATCAAACCATTAGTTGGCAATGCCATTATATAATTTGAGCAGTACAAACAGGTCTATGATCTACCGTTGATGTTTTGGTTGTCAAGAACACACAATGCACATAATGTCTCATTTTTCACAAAATAGTATTTCTGCAGTTGATATGCTGACAAAAACTACTTAATTTCACAGATGTTCGATCCCCCAAAATGCCACTGATGACTTCATTTTCCATTTTATGCCTAGTAAAGTGATAGTTTATGCTAAAATGAAAATTCTAAGCATCAGTTACCCTCAAGCTGTTTCCAACATGTAAGTGTACTCTCTGATGAAAAGCACAAAATTTATGTTGAAGAATGTTTCAAACATGTAAGTAAATTTACAAAAAAAACTAATTGGACCCTACTGTATGCCCTCTAAAACGAACCAAACTTCCAATACACTACCTGTACTCATCTTCAACAGTGGAGTTAGCTGGGCACCCAGTTGTGGGAGGAGCTCTGTGTGGTCGCTGGCCCAGTATAACCCTGTCCACCCTGTATGATGGGGTCAAAGTTGAAGTCAACCAAGTCTCCATCCATGAGATCACTGTTGATGATATATTCCACATCACAGTCCAGGTTTTCGGTGAACATGTCAATATCTAAGTCTGTAGGCAGACGGTCCTGTGAGGGTATGAAGCACGGCATTGTTGAAAATTGGCCCAATCCTTGCAAGCCCCCATTTCCAGCAGGTGAGGGAATCACTCCATGGTGCAGAAGCCCAGAACCTGGCACCTGATGCTGGGTCTTTACAGTTGAGAGCTGAGGTGGTTCCTGGCTCATGGCCATGTGCATCATTCCAAAGCCCATCTGTGAGTGCTGGAGTTGGGGTGGACGCTGGAGGCTCATCTGTCCCACCGTGCTTGTGTCAATGCCTTTGCTCAACATCATCTGCCCTGCTTTAACTTGGCTGCTAGACATAGATCCCCCGAGCCCCAAAAGGCCCCCACCTCCTTGACTCGGCATCAGAGGGTCCATCTGGGTCATCATGACATCACTGGGTGGGGGCGAATCAGAGGTCAGGAGAGCTTCGAGGCTGGAGGGCACATGAGTGCTGAAACCACTGTGACCTGGACCAGGCAGAGGGCTAAAAAGGGAGTTTCCGAAGTTTGATGGGCTTGATGTGCTGGATCCTGCATTAGGCTGAACTGAGCTCTGTGGCCCAGGTGGAGTGGATCCTTGAGAGGCCTTCGTTGGCTGGAGCTGCCTAAATGAGGGAAAGCTGGATCCTCGAGGCAGCAGAGTGGATGCTGAGGGCAAAGGCTGCGGTGGGGCAGGAGGAGCCATGCTTGGGCTTGCACCCCCTTGTGGAGCAGTCATTAAAGTGAGCCCATCAATCAAATCCAGTTCTTCCATGAGGGTTTCAGGTAGTGTTGAAGGAAGATTCCCTGATGAATAGCCACCAAGAAGTCCATCCTCAGGTAGATCATCTTCATCCTCCTGTCCTGTAGCAATTGGAGAAAGCCTACCGCTCAGTGTACTGGCATTGGAGCTTGTCCGTGGCCTGATGCTTGTCCAAATGTCTGGGTCATCCAGGCTGCCACGGGAGGAAGGGCTGCTGCTGTTCACTCCCCATTTTCCAAACTGACCTGGAGGCCCAGGACTGTCTGCATTCCCTGTGCCAGAGGTCCCCTCACCCTGCAGGCCACCTCCTGTGCCTCCAATCCCAGCTGCTCCAGCCTGCTTTTTAGTCTGCTTTGCCCGTATACGACTTTTGAGCAGTTTGCCGCTGTTGTCCATAGAAGTGGCACGACGCCGATGGGCTTTGCCAGTCTTGCCCCCCTCAGGGTTAAGCATCCACCAAGAGCTCTTTCCTGTGGATTCATTGTGCACTCGCAGAAACTTGTTGTGGAGCGATAAATTATGACGAATAGAGTTCTAAATAGGATGACAAAAAATACATAACTAAAAATTGGACAATGTAAAACAGAAATCATTCATAAAAAGGTACAAAAGGCTGTCAATAATATTATTGTTTAAAATTAAACTAAACAAATCCCAAAACAACCTCAGTCATCTTTATTGCAGTGTTGCCTAGAAATCTGTTATTTTCAGCTTGAAACGTTGCTATCAGTACACTGATGCAAAGGACAAAATTTACAAAATTTTGTTGCAGTTATATTTTGTGGCATGATTTTCATTATTGACAAGGGATTATTAAAAAAAGGCAACAAAAAGTTGCATGAATTCTCTGTTATATAATGTTGGTCAGGCCCGTAGCCAGGGGAGGATTGGGTGGTTCGAAAGACCCACCTCTCACTCACAAGGGTTCAGAATTTGTCCCATACATGAGCTTATTTATCCTATTTTGTTTGCTATGCCATCATAAATTTTGAGGAAAAAAACATTGAAAAAGGCTTTAAGGCAGAGTAAAGTCATCTTTCTCTACTGTATTGTTTAAAATAGAGAAAATAAGCGACTTTTATTCTAAACCATAGACCTTATTCCTGAAACAAAAACTGATCAATAAAAGTGGTGAAGTACCAAAAGCAGCCCATATTGCAAGTCATTTAAATACTAATTTGGCTATTGTTGTTATCCCTGATTTTTCAAATGTACTTTTTTTACAAGACAAATATAGCTGGAAGGGCATCCGCTGTGTAAAACATATGCCGGAATAGTTGGTGGTTCATTCCGTGGTGGCCACCCCTGATAAATAAATAAAAAATTAATAAATAAATTATTGTCATTATTATGGTTGATTATTTTTTTTATTCAAATGGCCAAATCCTTACTGAGGAAAGTGAATGTGAATGTTGAATGTGCTGGCCAGTTAGTTATTTGCCTAATAAATGACAATAGGCATGAGTTTTTAAATTATAACTTTAAAAGCATCCTATTTTTTTCTAATGATATATAATGTGATAAATTTGTTTGTTTTTTTAAATATGTCTTTTTTCTTATATTTTATTGTAAATCTTTAGGAAATGTTTTTGGTACATCAAAAAGTGTGGTTATGAAGACCTTCTGGCAGGCTAATCAAGCAAAAAAGTGTTTAAAATGTCACTAAAATGCAGTATTTAAACCTCATAATTAAACAGAAAATGAGGCAAAAAAACTGCAAAAAGTTCCACTTTTGAGAAAAAAAAGAACCACCCCTATCACCAGGCTGGCTACGGGCCTGTGTGAACAATATTATTAAATAAAAATACATAATATTCATACATAATTCATTCAAACTGTTCGTTTGTTTTATTTTTGCTTATACTTCTGTTTTGACTCCTTTAAGTCCTGTTTAGCCAGTAGCTCTAACTTTGATTAACCAAAATAGCTGGAGAGTCAAAAGTTAATTTCAAATCCTGATTATTATCATCTTTAGAAAGGCTATCAGCCAGTGCTTTCTCAGACTTACCTTCCACCCTGCAGAACTGTTACTATCTCCTTTGTCCTTAAAATACGGCACCGTTTTTACCATCCAATCGTAGATCTGTGCCAGAGTAAGTCGCTTTTCTGGCGAGTTTTCAATAGCCTGGCTGATCAGATCTGCGTAGGACTGATTACCCCAGGCATTACGCCGGGAAGAGCCTTTCCGAGGCGTAGCTCCGCCCACTCCAGCGACGAGCCCGCCCTCCGAGACCGCGATTTTCTCAGGATCGCAGATGATTGGCTGAGGGTCGTGTTTATCTTCCTCGGCGGGCGGGGTCCCAGCAGCAGACTCGGAGCCGTCTGTCCCCCCAGCTTTGACAGCTGAGATGTCGGGTCTGGGCAGCGGCCATGTACATGACCTCGGTCTGGTCTGCGGCTCAAAATCTGGGTCAATCGGGGGTACGTTTTCTTCCTCCATTGTGCGATGCAATCCAGATAATTTCAGTGGAAAGCTGGATTTAAGTGAATCAGTTTTGAGGCGATATTAAAATATCAACGCCAACAGACTGGGAGACAATTTAACAAACACGTTAAATAATCCTGTTTAGGAATGAGATAATTTCCTATGCTCTGCTTGATCTATTAGACCAGTGTAAATTATCCAGACTAAATTTAACCGTGTTTGTCAAGAGGGTAACGAAGCACATTCGTAATAATCTGAGCACACCAATATAGCGTCAGTTAATCCTCAGATTGGAGATTAAAGGAGCCAAATAATCTCCTTAATAGTAACTACTATAAACCTTCTGATTTACATAGAGCAAACGAGGATAGAATGGGGGTCTCTTTGTTTATCTATTGAGAACAAAGGAAATTCACTACACATCAAAACAGCTGGACTGTCAAGAGCCACTACTGCAATAATCCACGCGCTGGAGTGACGGGGAGACAATTACACACTATGAGACAGTCGAATAAGGGAAAACCAATCATAACACGCGCCTTAATTGCTAAAATAACCACTTCCCCACTGGTTCCTATAATAGCAGCGAATGATTGATTTGGTGTCGCAATTAGATTTTACAACTAGAAAACAAAATTAGTATATAGGGAAAATCTATCATTAACAAAAACAACGAACCACCCTAATAGTACACGTCGTACACCAACTCCTCTTGTAAACCGAGTGTATTTCAATGTGAGAATACTGTAAACATTCAAGTGAATGGGGATTGCTTGTTAGAGCTGCCTTATAAAAGTCAACAAAGCCATGTTATTTTATTAATTGCGATTCGTTGTGGGTTTTTATGTCAAAAAACAAACCCAATTCAAACCCCCTAAAAACTGTACGACAGAAACGCTATATTACTGAACTCAAAATGTGACTATTAATAAAACCCCTAAATAATTTCTGACAGGCATTACGGCTTGTTTTATGGGTTTTACCATAGAATAAACTATATTTTTGTCGCTGTGGTTCAAGTTTGCTCGGTCCTCCACGCTGTGTGCTGGCGCGTGTCACCATCTGCCATGTTCCTCGAGACGCAGCTACACACGATGCTCGAGCGGGCACATCTGAGCCCAACGCGTCCGCCCCGTCGAAGCCTTCCAAAATCTCCTCACAGTCGATGCTTTCCTCGAAAATAAACAAAAAGTTGTAGTCCGTCAGCGTCTCGAATTCAATCGCCGGCGCCTCGGCCTTCAGGACAAAACTTGAAAGCGTAGTTTTACTACTGGGAGAGTAAGTAGATGGCCACCTAGTTAGCCAACTCCAGTTTTTATGAGTTAAATTCCCTCCGGTAAAAGTCGAAGAAAGCTTCTTCTCCCAAACAATTCGGTCATCGGTTGAACTTAATGCGAAATAAATTCCCTCCTGCTGTTAATGGAAATGGACAACAGCTATTCCTCGTAGATCTATCTTGTTTTGTTTTGTTTTGTTTTGACTCGAGGCGAAGACTCCCTTCTGACGTCTGTTTACCACTGCCAGACAACGCGTCGTGCGCATGCGTCGAAGGGGTTGATGGGAATTGCAGTCAGTCATGTGATGAAGTTCTACACCGTAAACACAACCAGAGGGAACCCGAAAAAAGACTGAGCTCACAGTCGGTTATGTAATAGTTTCTAAAGATGTGTGTGTGCGTGTCTACGTTTGTGAATCCTAGCCGGGGCTAAACGGTTTTGTCATTTTAGGATCTCTAGGTTGTTATGGAAAGGGTGAACAATAATCCCCGAAGGATCTCCAGCAGAGCGCGGTGCGCGAGACCCCCGACCTCACGCTATCCCCATGGTTCCCGTTAAAACCACAATCTCGTTTTTAATTACTAACAAGTGGATAAAAGCTATTCATACGTTGTATAATGTTTAATATTATATATTTTTTATCATGACGCGTCATTATTTGAAAGCGTGCGTTTAGGGTTTAGATATAGGCTAGTTGTCAATAGCCTATTTAATAAATTTACATTTTGAAGACCCCGTCCAACAATGTTCTCCACTGAATTGACATTTTTAATGGACTGTAATGTCAGCTTGTTGTTCTTTCAAGGTCAGCTGGACAGCTTGTGTATATATATTTTATGTGAATGTGTCAGTGTCTCAAATACTGACAAGAACTACAATACCCAAAGGACCTTCCCGAGGCCATTACCCTTTTCCCAGAATTGCGGTGGGCGGTAGAGGATACAGTGTATGATGCAACTCCTCTCCAGGCTTCAGTACAGTAGGCTATAATAGTGAAAGCCAAGATAAAAAGTTAAGTAATTACTTGACTGTATGTGTATTCCAGTATTTAACGGAGCATGTAAAAAACTTGATAAAATAATAAAATGTCTGATAATTGATTTGTACTTTAAATCAGTGCTAAAGACTGACCAAGATATCACTTCACTTAAAAATAATATGGTTTCTGTCCTCATTACCTTATGTTACAAACAATCAGAAGCCAATGTGATTTAATTCACTTAAAAAGGTTACATTTTAAATTAATGAACTGTAACAAGTATTTAGGGCTATTGAACTGTACTTTTGTATGCAAACAATGCAGTTCATACAATTTGCGTGGCTAAAGGTTTTTAAACTTTTTAAATGTGGCACAATTTAGTACAAAGGGGTCTGTGGAAATGTTTAGGGAAAAATATAAAAATGTAAATAAGATAATGATGAGAGAATTTAGGGTTGCAGCACGGTGGCTCAGTGGTTAGCACTTTTGCCTCACAGCAAGAAGGTTGCTGGTTCGAGTCGAGCATTTCTGTGTTGGTGTGGGTTTCCTCCGGGTCCTCTGGTTTTCCCCCACTGTTCAAAGACATAGGGTATCAGTGAATTTGTTAAAAAAATAATTGGCTATAGTGTGTGTGAATGAGAGAGTGTATATGCCGTCATGCCGTCAACTGCATTTAATACAGTTAAGGTCAGAATTATTAGCCCCCCTGTATGATTAGCCCCCTGTATATTTTTTTCCCTAATTTCTGTTTAACAGAGAGAAGTTTTTTTCAACACATTTCTAAACATAATAGTTTTAATAACTCATTTCTAATAACTGATTTATTTTCATCTTTGCCATAATGATTGCTTTGCTTTTAAGACATTTCTACAGTTTAAAGTAACATTCAAAGTCCTAACAAGGTTATTTAGGTTATTAGGCATGTTAGGGTAATTAGGCAAGTTATTGTACAATGATGGTTTGTTTTGTAGACTATCAAAAAAAATCGATATCTTAAAGGGGCTAATAATTTTGACCTTAAAATGTCATTTAAAAAAATCAAAACTGCTTTTATGCTAGCCAAAATAAAATAAACACGACTTTCTCCAGAAGAAAAAAAATATTATCAGACATACTATGAAAATGTCCTTGCTCTGTTAAAAGTCACTTGGGAAATTTTTGAAAAAGTAAAAAATTCATAGGGGGGCTAATAATTCTGGCGTGAACCGTATATGGCGGAATAGTTGGCGATTCATTCCACAGTGGTGACCCCTGAAAAAAGAAGGGAATAAGCAGAAGAAAATTTAATTAATGAATTATTAACCCATAAGATGTGTTAATAAATTATGATAATAAAAACATGTCCGTATGTATTTGTTTATTACGAATAGAATTAAAATAATTTAATATAGTTTAATAATAGTTATAAATAATATAAAATAAAATAAATTATATGATTAAATTGCATAAATACAAATTAAACTATGAGAAATATTTTTATAAATAAATCATAGAAATAAATACATTACTAAAATGTAATCTAAATAATATTTTACACCCATTTATAAAAATAGTTAATAGATTTTCACAGGTTTAAAAAATGTATTAGATAATCGTATTTGGGGGTCTGTAAAAGATTAAAAATTCTCTAAAATTCTCTAGTAAAAGATTAAAACCTCTAGCCTAGAGCACAGTTTTGACTGCTATTCATTAAGATATTAAATGAAATCAAAACAGTAGTGTATGATTACTCTGTAAAAAAATGATATGATCAATTAGTCCTGATAGCATATGTTTTTAGGTCATTGTAAGCCATTACATTAAATTAGCCGTGTTCTAACTTTATCTAATTTTATAAGTTGTGCAAGCTGTTTTAAGTCAGTTTTAATATATATATATATATATATATATATATATATATATATATATATATATATATATATATATATATATATATATATATACACACACACACACACACACACACACACATACATACATACATATAAGTTCAATGGACTTAAAATTTAAAGCAAACTGATTTTTTTTACAGTGTATGATTTTGTTAGCTCACATTGCTAGTTTTATGATGAATATTTCATCCTTGCATATCTTTATTTCCTAATTAGTTTATTGTTCAAAAACAATTACAGAAACCACCTTATGATATCATGAACTGAGATTACGTCACAGAGGTTTTTTGTTATACAAACTGCCAGCACTGGGGGGCGCTGTGAAATCTCCAATATTTACCATAGAAGACAATCTTTCTGATAAAAGTAGACAGTCATGCAGGAAATCAACTCCAGATAGACAAAAGAAGGTATAGCACGATATAATATAAAATATGTCTAGTAAAATATCGTAAGTTAACCAAAGAAATATCTGTTTAGTTTCATAAAGAGGACTGGAAGGACGAATTCAATCAACAAGTGTTAGACAGCAGATGGCAGTAACGCGACGATTTGGATGACAACTGCCGATAACGGCGAAGAAGAAGACGAACTCTCGCTGATAGGCCAAGAGCTGAGCGTCCCGTCCAATGACTCTGTTGTCCCCGTTTAAAACTAACACGCAAAAACCAAGTACTCAAGAGCTGGTAAGAAAGTGACAATACTCTCTAAAGATTAGCATATTTTTTACTTGTTTACAAATTATAGAGTTTTTGGGTTCATTTTCGCGTGTCGCCGTTCATGTATCGTTTTTTTCGAGCTCTTATCATAACAAAACATCCGCTGCAGTTGTCAGTTAGGCAAGGCAAGTTTATTTATATAGCACCTTTCATACACCGTGGCTTAACATAAACAAGAATAAAAGAGACAAGTAATTAGTAAAAATAGAATAAAATGTGTAAAACAGGTTATAAAAGAATGAAAAAGAGAAGACATAATAGGGTGATCTGCCTGACATAGCAACGTTATAGTGCTCATTCACTTACAAAACTTGTTTATTCTAGTATGTTTAGTTTGTTGTGTAATGTTATACACCCTGAGCTATTGTCAGACGAGTTTATATAACATATCTAGATAACATCTCTGCTTAATTATTAGTTGTGTGTTTAAAAATAGAAAAGTATCTAAAGAATTTGCTTTCAAACAGATTCTTCGTTTTGTAAAATCATGCCATCTTCTGTTAGATAATCTTCTTCCTCATAATCATGGAGGAGATTCAAGGAAAGATTCAGGAAGTCACAACATATTTTTTTGTTATTACTTTCAGGGACCCGCCTGCTATTGAAATGGAGAGCTTTTTTAGGCAGAAGCTTGGATTGTCTCTTCAGAAACCTGTTTCTTCGTACCAGTTCAAACTGCCAGAACTGTCTTCTAGTTTCTATTCAATTGCAGATGAACCTTTTCCCCAAGTGTCCGGATTTCTTGATGAAACTGTCAGCCCGTCTTTTATTTCAAATGAAACCGCGTTAAGCACCCCGTCTTGTACACCATCTGAAAATCAAAGAAAAAACAAGCAGGAAAATGTCACTAATGACTCTGGACTGAATTGCTCTTTAGCAGTGCAGAGTCATTTTACAAGTGGAAATGCATCAAATAGATCAGTACAGACTGAGAAAGACATTACCAGTGTAACAGATTGCAAAGTAGATGTGGATGCTGTGCCTTCACTTCAGGCCCTTGCATCTGCAGATACATCTGGTCTCATGAGTGAGGACTTGAAGAACAGCACGTTTGATGTGACCCAAGACTTGAAAGAGCCATCTGACAATGGTGTTAATGTGACAGTTGATCTACAAAACATCAAGGAGAAGAACGGCACATTTGATTTAACCCACAACGTGAAAGACCCATCTGACAGTGGCACTACTGCGACTGCTGATCTACCAAATATCAAGGAGAAAAACAGCACTTTTAATATGACACAAGACTCGAAAGAACAACCTGATACTGGTGAAATTAAGACTGTAGAGCTGCAAAACATCAAGGAGAAGAACAGCACCTTCGATTTCCCCAAAGACTCGAAAGTGCAATCTGAGGGTAGTGCTGCTGTCACGGTTGATCTCCAAAACATCAAGGACAAGAACGGCACCTTTAATTTCACTGAAGACTCAAATGAACGATCTGATGCCCATACAAATACAACAGTAGATCTCCGAAACATCAAAGACAAGAATGACACTTTTAATTTGACCCAAGAATTGAAAGAACAATCTAATACTGGTACAAATAGGACTGTTGATCAGCAAAGCATCAAGGAGAAGAACGGCACCTTCAATTTTACTGAAGACTCAAAAGAGCAGTCTGACTCTCGTACAAATACAACCGTAGATCTACAAAACATCAAGGAGAAGAACGGCACCTTTAATTTCACTCAAGACTCAAAAGAACGATGTGATTTAGCTACAAATACCACTGTAGATCTCCAAAACATCAAGGAGAAGAACAGCACATTTGACTTGACTCAAGACTCGAAAGATCATTGTAACCTTGGTGCAAATATGACTGTAGATGTACAAATCAAGGACAACACTTTTAATGTGACTCCAGAATACAAAGAACCATCTGACAATGGTATTAGTAGGATTAATGGTCTACAAAATGTAAAGGAGAAGAACAACACTGTTGATTTGACTCATGATTCTGGTACTAAAGAGAATGTTGATCTACACAACACCAAGAGGAGCACTGTGGAATCTCAAGAGCCAAAGGAGAGCTGTGACGCTAATTCAACGGTGGATCTTGATGTCCCTAATGTAAAGACTGAGTCAGGAAGTGCCACTGTTGATCTAGTCCAGTCACATGACCTTAAAGAGGGACCCGAAACCAATGTGGATATTCCTAATATAGAAATCACGCATGCTAAAATCATTTCGTCCTCTTTTAACAGTGCACCCTTAAGCACTACTACAGAACAACCAAATGAAAAGCTTGATGGAACTATAGATATTCAAGATATTCAGCCAAACAAAAAACAAGATGGTAGTCTGAACTCTGAGGATGATAAGAGAAAAAACTCAGAGGAAGCTTATTCTAAAGTTGACATAACTGTTGAAGAGGAGCAAACAGGTAGTGCTGCTTTTCAACCTTCTGGCGACATCAGCAGAAACAGTATTTTTAGTTTGGATGAAACGCTAAACATGAAAACAAACTTCATGTTTACATCCACACCTATAGTTTTTGGCAAAGAGTCCAGATTTGAAATACTCAGAGATACAAAGCCCACCCCTATGAGAAAGAGGCTGTCTGTGATCAACAGCATTGAGGTCCAGTCGAATGATGAGCTCGTCTGTACCAGCAATCATGATGGTACTGATGCCATTCAGACGGCTGAGCGGTCAAGTCAGAGGGTCTCTGCAACCTGCCCTGCAAATCACACTACATCAGAGTCAGCAAATGAGAACAAGCCTCCCACTAAACCTCCAATGAAAAGAAGGCTACCTCAGCTTTCCTCTAAGATCAGCTATGCAAAGTCCAGCCTTCTTCCACCGCCGTCATCTATTAACTCATCAGTGGCGGTCAAACCAAAGACTGTCAGAGGCCCGCAGGCCCCGCATCCACCCAACACATCATCCACACCGCTGCGTGGCAACAGGAGGACTATACAGATGAAGACAAGGAACATTGCACCTGTCAAAAACACAGCACCAGTTAGCACTGTTAAGGTAAGAAGCATAAGATTTTACTTCTATGAAAGATGTTGGTCCTGTGTTGGGTTTAATTACATTATTGGATTTTCCTTTTTTATTATTTAAAACAGACTTCTGTTGTTTCATCTGTCCCTGGATATAACTTCACTGCTGGTGAGTGGCTTATGCACTTTTTTGTCCCACAAATTATACATGTGCATTTTATATTGCTTTTGGAAAAGTTTTGGTCAGAAAGATTCTTATTGAATAAGTTACTTGGATGCATTCAAATATTCAAGTCAGTAAATTACAGTTGTTTCCAAAAATTGGGATATTTGAATGATGTGAAGGAACACCTGACACTTAAAATGGCAGTTTATGTATTTAAATTTAAAACAATTCAATTGTAAATCACAGTATTACTGTTTTTACATTCTATCAGATTTAAGCACATATATATATATATGCATATATATATATATATATATATATATATATATATATATATATATATATATATATATATATATATATATATATATTTCTATATTAATAAGTTGTATGTATTATGCACATTTTGTAACATGTCATGTGACATGGTTGCAGTTGCAAAACCTTCAAACTCTGGTATACCACAAATGAAACCATCTGGGCTACAGCCACCAACCCGTAAAAGACTGGCTCTTAAGACACCACAGACTGCACTATCCTCTGTGGATTCTGCTCCATCTCAGCCCAGTAATAAATCAGCTGCATTACCAGGTAAAGTTCACAGTGATTTTCTTTTTTTCTTTCAATTTTCTGCACCTTCAGATTTTGTTATGGTCAGGTTTGCTTATCTCACACTTATGCAACATTCATACCTAGAAAAATAAATAACAAAATGATTGTGTAATTGAAGGGCTCTGACATTATGTAATGCTTTTTATTATTCAAACCATGTTTCCTCTATGAAAGGTATGAGGACGAGGAATTCACTGCTTTCCAGTGTGGGCCAAAAGCACTCGATCAATGATGGTTTGCCTTCGGCAAAGAGAAAACGAATTGGTGCGATTTGATTATTATTCTTACTATTTTTTACACCAACTAGAGTAATGCTATGTGTAAAAGTGAAGCTTGATAAATAACAGTAGGGCTTTTCACCCTGCACTTAAGATATTGTCAATCTAAAAACAAATTGTAACCATTGTAAGAAATATTTCATGTTCCATTACTCTGCTCCTAAAAAGTGTTAGCACTGATTTACTGTAGTAATTCCCTTATTGCTGACCCAAATGTGCATTTTAAAACGATTTGGTGTTGAATTTTGAATGTTACCCCTAAATGCTTAGAAACTGATTACCAATCATGTGCTTTATATTCAAAAGATTTGGACTGTCCCTGAAACACCTTGCATGCAAGAAAGAGCATCATTTTTACTGAATAAATTTTTTCTTGCCTTTTAAAGTCTAAAAATTATATCAGTTGACTATAGAATGTGAAAATTCAAATTAAAGACAGTGCGAAACATGTAGGCAAGGAAGCACAGAACGACACTGCTTATTAAGAGTTTCAAAGGAAAGTGTTGTAAGTGTGAAAAGCCCTACTGTTTATAGTACTCTTGGATGGTCTGCAACAAGTTTAGATACACACATACCATAGTCAACTTTTGAAGTTGATCAAAGATTTCAAAATTCTCCTAAGACAAAACTAGATGTTGTTTAATAATATTGTATGTGTATGTCTGGTGTGTACACACACACACTTGTATTAAGGATTGCTTATAGGGAAATCTTATTTTCTCTTGTGCTGGTAGGCACGCACATAAGTACAGTAATAGTTGAAGGTTGGATAAAATACTGCACCAACGAATGCTCACCAATTACTGTACATCACTTCTCAGACATGTACTACTCAAGACCTGACCAAACCAAAATATGATCACATGATTAACACCATGCTGGGTCCACAACATGTCTGTTGCCGTTGGTGTGGTTTTTAGGTAAATTGGCCATCATCCCTTCTTAAATTTAGGATTATTGTAACTGATGGTGGTTTAAATATAATAAATATAATTTGCAAAACACTGGGTGTATCAAAGTGAATTTTCAGAACATTATAGTCTCTAGAATATGGGAAAATGCCACCCTTTCCCTTAAGCCCTTCAGACACATCCCAACAGGACGGCTCCTGATATATCATTATTGTAAAATCTCTTTCCTGAAGCTGCCAAGAAACTGAGAATAATTGAGTCATTAAATCGAGATCTCTAGATGGTTTCCCTGCCTTACTAGCTGTAATCCAAGTCAAATTGATATGATTCAGAAAATAAATTGGCATCTGTGCCTCCACATGAATTGACTGTATAAATTTGAAATAAAAACGTATGATTATTATACCACAAACATTACATGTGTACTACCATTTGGGTTGCAGTAAATTGATTAGATACAACTTATTTAATGCCTGAAACTTATTTATTTGCTCATTAAAAGGTCTTCTAGTGAATCAAACTGTTTCGACATTCTGATGTTTTTGTTGGTTAATGAAGCTGCTAAATTAGTTCCTCAAAAGAGTCCGTTTCGCAACCTTTGATGTTCTTGTCCCCTTTTGTCCACCATTCTCTCTGTGCTCTGGTTTGGTCAAATTTGTGTTTTCCTAAGAACCAATTAAGAGCCACTTTCAACTGTGCCAATATTGAGGAGGGGGGAGGGGGTGGGTTTACCTTAAAAATCAACACCTTGTGATATTATTTATTCTCCATTCTGATGTATTTATGGTTTTTGTATTCACAGGACCTGCTGCTTCAGTAGAGTGTGATGGTCTGCATCCAGCTGAAGGGGAGCATCAGTCAGGTGAATGTATGTAATTAACATTGTAGAGGTCACGTGGATAGGAAAGTACTAAATGTTCATTTTAATCTTCAATCCTAGGCTGTGTTAATTGTTTGCAACACAAAGAAAAACTTGAGAGCGTCCTGCAAGAACTAAAGGTTTTACGTTCAGGTATTTATTTATTTGATCTTTTTTTATGCAATGACTTTACTGATGATATTCATTGTGAGAAAATGTTTTGTCATTTTGTCTTTTTTTATAGCTTGTAAAAACTGGGGACCACTGCATGAAAAACTAGAGTTGTGTATAAAGGAAATGAAGAGAATTTAAGTAGGTCTTCAACATTTAGAGTCATTTGTTAAATCTTCAAATCTTAATTGTTGGGATAAATGTCAAAATGTATTACGTTTAAAGTAATATAAGCTGAATTGTATACTTCTGGCTGATTCTTTCTTTTTTGTGTGTTTTTCATATTTACAGGAGTAAAAAAAAAGAAGTTTTAACCTTTCTAGCATATATTTAAATGCTTATAAAATGTGACTCGGTTTACTAATAAATTGTAATTTTTTTATGATATATTGACTGGATTGTCCTAATAAATTACAGTGCAACATTACAGTATAATTTAGTTTTGTTTATTTGTTTTTGAGGGAATGGGAGATTTGAAAGGTTAAATGATTTACATTTCCCATCATAAAATGCTTAGTTCATTGTGTCACCATGTGTATAAGTGCAATACTGCAATAATTCTAACATGCATCAAATCAATGACAATCGTCAATGGAAACAGTTTTATTGTTATTACTATTAATGAAAAACCAAATAGGATACAAATAAAAATGGCAGTTGTTTACATCATTAATATTTTGACCAGAAAATGATGGAAAATGAAACGTAATGTGGTCATATTGTTGGCTCATCAACATTTCCTGTTGTCAAGTGGTCATTTCACATCCGTCACATCCATAATGAAGCTTTTCCATTATAAATGCAAAAATGTCAAATAAAACGAAATTGATCACATTTGTTCTATGTTGAGCTAACACTTATCCTTTGGATTAGCATTATTTCTTTTGGGCTATGCAGTTTAATTCACAGATTTTCTTAGACTTGCACAGTTTACTGGTACTATGGTAGTATCGTGATACTATGGCTTCACAATACTGCCAGTGCCACTGTAGTTTGTAATCTGTAATATCGTCATTAACAATTCATAATGTTGCATGTGGAAAAGTTACTAAATGCACACACGTTTGTGTAAAAATAGACGATTTAATTTTAGTAGTCTATGAAGCCTTCTAAGGTTACAAAACTGTCGAATTTGCACTTTTTATGGTAGCCTATTGCATATTTTTTATGCTTCAGTTCAAATCTGAATCCGTTAATTTCTGCTCCTGTCAATATGATTTAATAGCTACAACACTTTGAATGACTTTGAATTTTTACCCAATAAGACTGAAAGACATTGGATGAAAAACCCAAAACAGCAACAGGAAACATTGAAAAATGCTTTTTTTGTAGCCAGTTTCATTTGGAATAATTAGTTTTTTATTTGAATGTATTTCTTTGTTGGCATGAATACATTTTAGCCGAAGAGACGTGCAAACACTTTTTTCAATAATAATGGAATTATTATTTACATTCATGTAGGCCTATTATAACATAAAATATAGTATTTCTGAATTTTTTCTTTATTTCAAGAATTTGAGTTATGAATTACAGTATTACAATACTGCTTGGTATCGCGATACTTTAGCTGGTATAGTATAATGACATGAATTAATGGTATCAAGACAACCCTTTAATTTCTATGGAGTATGTTGTTTCAAGGGAACTCACAAAGTCATATCCATAACATATGTTTATTTTCCTAATTTAAAATATAAAAAAAGTTTACAGATTAATATTTTTCTGATCCCATAACTTTGGTTGATTCTTTTGGAAAATAACAGGATATTATTGGATATTTCAATATAATGTTAATATACTTTGTGTGTTTATGTTTAGTTTTTACTGAAAATGTCACATCCATAACGCTGAATTGCTCCTATTCAGAGTTTTATAATCTGAAATCTTGAGCACACGTTTTATGTAATGATGTATTAATAAATACAAATTACAAATGGTTGTTCTTTACAGTTTTAATCTGTAAAAAAATATTAACTTAAAAAAACAATGAATATACATGAGAACAAATGCAAACTAGTTTAGTTCAATGGAACACGTTTCTCTACAATGGGCATTGTTCTTGACGTCAGAGTAACCCTACCCATGGGGGGAAAATAAAGTATTTTCCTTAAAAGGTTGGTATTTCCGGGTGACTTTAGTATCGCATGTCCTGCTCTGTTGCTCATTTCTCTCGTCTGCTCCGTGAACGCTGCTCAGCGTGTCTGCTGTCTGTCTGCGTGCGAGCCGCTGGATCTTCAGCACATCATCTCAGTAGAGGGTAAGGTCTTTAACCTTCATTCTCCTAACAGTTCCTTCTAAGTCGTCAAATGTCTGAGGTAAAGATGTAAGAAATATTTATAAACTGAACGGTCTGGGTAAGGGGTTTTGTATTAAGCGATTCGTTAACGTTGACTGTGAAGCGGAAATCCCGTATGTTTATCATCTTCCTCGTGGTAGAAATGGCGCGCGTGCTTGTAGATACTGATTATAAATGTACGCTTGTTTATAGTTATTTATTTAACGTTATTGCCGCTTTTATTTTAATAAGACTGGAGAAATAAAAATATGTCATTGACATTTAGAATGTTTTAAAAGGAATATATTTACACTGATACGCTATTTTTTCAAAATGAAATAAACTTGTCTCAGGTAACGTGTCAGTTCTTCTTTATGTGAACATGATTTCAAGCATGACATTATAGGTCAATTGTCTAAAAAAAACTATCAATACCTGTACAAATAACTAATACCATACTCCAGTAATAATATTACGTTTAAATATAACGTTACGTACTTTTTCACATAAATATAATTTCTTGCATAAATATCTGAAGCCCTGTTGAAAATTCTTGTTTAATCTTTGTGACACACGAGTAAAGAGTTTTTACAGTGAGGAATTTGGGGAATCTCTTTAATCCCCACAATTTTTGAAATTGTGCGAATGTTCAGGAAAATAAAAGCATTTATGTACATTAAATTACTGTGTATATAACCAGGCAAATTATGGTTGAATATCCATCTGTAAAACAGCAAAACTGGCAGGTGCATAAAAAACTTTAGTTGTTGTTGTTGCCTGTAGTTATTACAGGGTGTCCGCGGGGTCCTAAAAATTGATAAATTAATTTAAAGAAATTTAAGGCCCTTTAAAAATTATTAAAAAGTCTTAAATGCTATTTTAAAATATATTAAATTTTATATCAGTATGCTAAAGCTTGCCTGAATTTTGTATATAAGTTTGCTGTGTAGTTTATGAAATCAAACAAATTCTGCTAAATTAGACATCACACGGCTTCGTTTTCTGCAGTAAACCAGATAAACACTTATTCCTGCTGTTGTAAAGGCCGGATTAACATTTTTATTCAGTATATAAATACAGTTTTAGTTTAGGATTAGTTTCTTGCAATCAGTATTAACAGTCAGTAAATATATTGCAATTTAAAATGTCGCCAATTTTACTGGTTGAAACCTGAAGTGGTGATGAGGTCTTAAAATGTATGCAGAGTCTTAAAAAGGTCTTAAAATGTACTGAATTTCAATCTCTGCTCCCTGTTTTTACTATATTTTAGCCCTAAATAAAATAGACTTAGATCATCATTGAGCTCAGAATGAGTTAATGAATAAATCATCATAGGCTGAACAAATATCCTGTGATGTTTAGCAAAAAAAATATCATTGTTTAAAAAAAGACTGATCTGTGAGTGTGGTGTCAGAAAGACATTATGAAATCTCATTCATGTAAATATAGGTGTGTTATGACAGGTGCTGCATGTGCATTCCATGTTAATAGTAATCTCTAAATACCAACACCAATAGTATTTTCAGGTCAATATTTCTCTTTCACAAAGAGCACAGAAATATTGCTAAGCCCCAATTAAATTGTCACTTAAGTAAAAAAGAAAAGAAAAACATGGGCATTTAGTCATCATCTTAAACTTTTAAATGAGACTCTCAAACCAGTAAGCTTTCAATTGAGTGAAGCAGACAATCCTGTTCATGCTACCTGTGAATGGATCACATCCAACCTGTTATAGTAGCTAGTTTATTTAATCTTTGAAATGTTTTTTTCTGGTTAATCGCTCATGGCAGAGGAATGTTTAGGGCAGGACCACATCAACTGCATGACTGCTGCTGTTTCCTCTTCCAGGAGGTGTTATTTAACATAACATCTCCCAGTCTGATGTACTGGAAAATAATGAATAATGAATCCCCTACACTAATGATTGTTCAATGACATCAATGTCCAAAGGCAGTGCTTTACATGGGCTTAGTGATAACTATCAGACTGTTTTAGTGTGATAATAAGCCACTATTTAACAGATTAAACAACGTTTTCACGTACTAGATTTTCTGTTTGCTTTGTTATGAAGTAAATGTTAATACCTTTATGCAACACCCATGAGAGGAAGTAAATATTTTCTGTGATCTTAATCGTAAAGAGTAAACCCGACGTAATCAGAAAAATATAAAAGCATCCTTGTTCTTTGTTTTTAGGTATTATGTTTGAGGAAATGTTTTGAATTTTACGTTAAAATGCCTACAGGAATAGGTAATCCGAAAACACAAATTGCTCACCCTCGAGTGGTTTCACACCCAACCCAAACAATCTCAAAAGAAGATATTTTGAAGAATGATGGAGGTCCTGATGTTAAAAAATCTACAAAATATCTTCTTTTGTGTTCAACAGAAATAAAACTCTTTGAAACAAGGTGATGGTGAGTAGATGATGACAGAATTTTTATTTTTGATGAGAAGGATTGAAATGTTTCCACGGTTTGCCATGTAAGCAGGCCCAGGTTTGCTTTACTGGTTAGTGCTATACACAGGATCTGATGAAACATGTATGACTACTCAAGCTACCAGACAGAAACCACTCTAGAAAACCTTCCCTGCGAGCGATCTATTTTCTTAAAAAAGCGTGTGATGGTTCTGCAGCTCATTATTGCTAATATTGGTGTTACCTAAATGTTGTGTTCAAATACTGTGGCTGACCTTTTGGAAATACTCACTAATCTGAATTAGCATTGCTCTAATATTTTACCCTCAGTACATACTCCGTTTCACTCAGCCTGCTCTTTTCATCCAGCCTGTAAATTGTGATGAATCGCTTTGGTCTTGCCTGAAAATTGTTTCTGTCCACACACCAACGTCACCGATCTTTAGCTGGGCTTTAGAGCTGTTGTGCTTTATGAATTATGTGTCTGTATTGAAAGGGCAATAAAAAGCTCTTAGATACGAATCTTTTTAATTCTCCTGATGGATTGAGCTGCCCTGTGGTCAAATAAGTTGTTCATAATGTGCTAAGTGAACGCTCTGTCTGTGTCTGTGGGTGTGATGGGAAACAGACACCCTTATTTTTGCCCTTTACATGCAATAACTTGTCTGAAGGGCTGTTCACATCAAGGATAATAACTATTAATGTTATAATCATAGCATTTCAACGTGAATTAAAATGTC